TTTTTTTGTTGTTGTCCGTCGTGGGTGTGTGTATGTTTTTTTTTCTTCATATTTTTTTGGGAGGTGTGGGCGTGGGTCAGCATTTAAAGTGGGAGCCGAGCAGAGAGCAGCTGGCCAAAAGCATTTGCCACTTTGAACTTGCCAAGGCAACACAATAGAAAGCTGTTGGCAGGAAACTGTAGCTGGGAAAACTAAGGGGGGGGTAAATTTGCTAAAGAAAGACAGGGACAGAGAGAGAGATCTGCTTTAAACGCTTTGGAAATTTATGAGATAAGGCCTAGAGCGAAATCCTTTCACCAGCGAGCAGACAACGATTAATAAATCAATAAAAAGCATTTATAATCATAGTTGTTGCTCGAGTTATTGCTGTTGCTGCTGCTGCTGTTGCTGCAACTTCCGCACAGTGACAAGCGGCAATTTCAGGCGGCAACACCTTGGCAACAATGTTGCCAGTCGGCCAGCGGAACAATTAAGATGCCATTGGAAAAGAGATGCCCATCTAAAGTCGAAAGGAAACCAAGGCAGCACGGCAGCAACATGTTGCGCAACTTATCAAAATAATCATCATTCACATCGACAACAGCAGCAGCAGCAGCAGCAGCAGCAGCACTACAACAACAACAACAGCAACATCACAACAGCAACATGAGCTGCGCAGGCAGCATTATGATAATCGCAAACGGTGTCGGCAATGTTCAAACAACGCGAACAACAGCAAAATTGCAACTGTTTTGCAGCTCAAACACCCCTACACTGAGAGAAAAACAAGGCTTACTTAGCAGTAGTTATATTTCTTTTTAAGAAAATGTAGATTTAAAGGCATTTTATGGTAACTTAACGTCGAAAAAAAACTTAGAAGGAAAGCATCCTTAAATATAAACTTTATGTCTCATTTCGTTATAATTCCCAAGTAACTTTTTTGGCTTTTTGAGATTCATTTCATTATTGAAATAAAAACATAAATTAATTAAATGACTGGAAAATATATTCCAATGCCAGCATAAAGAACTTTCCAAATGGAATTTCACTTTTCATTTTATTTTTCTAACTGCATAGTGACTGTCCACCCCTCGTTTCCCTCAGCCTCCCATCCTCCCCCCGTCATATCGCAATTAATAATCGAGTAGAGAGCAAAAACGAGGCGCGGCATAACTGAAACTCAACTGCAACTCAACTGAACTGCATCGTGCGCCCTTCTTTTTGATTTAAAATGTGCCGCCATCGCACGTAGGCGTACTCACACGCAGTTCACCTATCCCGCGAAAACAAGTGGCCAGACCGGGGACGGGACTTAACTTAACTTAACTTAACTTAACTTTACTTTGGCTTCATCAGTCAAGTGTGTTGTCTTGTGGCACCATGGACCACAAAAGGTTTTCAAAGTTGTTGCAGTTGCAGTTGCAGCTGCAAGAGGTAGAGCTAGAAGAACTGGGTAGAGCAATGGCAAGGATGCAACTAGGCAACTAGCAACATTCAACGGTAACTGGGCAACATCTAACATTTGTGGGCTGATGATGGCGTGTGCGTGGGCTTCTGGACCTGGACTTTTGCCTGGGTGGATCGAGTGGTGGATGATCCTCTGTGGAGCGGAGAGATCATCATTGATCATTGTCTGATCTTGTGACCAGTGACCAGACTTTGACTTTGATTACCATCTAAGAATTGGGTTTTCGGAATGAAAGCTGATGGCCTTCTAAAAATTAGGCTTTGCTAACTTATTTGAATTGTTAATCATTCTTTTGCTTAAAATCCAATAAATTCTAGCCTTTTCTCTTATCTTAGTGAATTTTTAAACGCTTCTCGACATTAACTAACAGCTCACACTCTATCCACCCAGCCAGCCAGCCACGCCCACTTTTAAAAACCACTTGGCAATTAAGTTTATAAATAAATAAATCAAATGCAAATTTCACTGGCATCTGGGAGGCAAAAGGAGAACACAAAAAACGAAGCGGTAAAAACAAAACATGAAAGGCAAAACTGCGGCCTTCTTGTGGGTGTGACATTGAGGGGTTGGGTTGGCCAAGGGGGTGATGAAGCTGAAGCTGAAGCTGAGGCGCCTCAGGTGAGCGACCAAGCATGTGGAGAGGGAGGTAGAAGTAGGGTAGGGAATGTGAAGCAAGGGACCAAGAATCGTTGGCGGCTCGTCAGGGAGCCTTAATTAGAAAATTGCTAATAACTCATGCACACGAACAAATTTCAATATTAATGAGTTTTAGGCCAGCGACGGCAGCAACATCGGGCATTTGCAGCAGCAACAGAAGCAGTAGCAGTAGCAACAGCAACAGCAATAGCAACATCAACCAACACAGCAGCAACATATGCTGACTGAGTTTAGGAACCATCCTACCTGCAGCGGCGGGGGTCTTTAATTGAAAAGAACCAACTAGGAGCAGCATCTTGACCAAAAGAACTGTGCACTGTGGGAGATCAGTTTGGTTAACAAAAAAAAAGGAAGCCCCTTTTGTTGTTGCCTCTGGCTGCCTGTCTTACGCTGCTCATTAACTTGGCTAAAAACTCTATAGGTAGCCGCTGGATCACTTGACTGATTTAGTTGTCAGTAATGGTTGGAGCTCTCCTCTTACCTATTTTGGCCGTCTTTTGCTAGTGTTGCTGCTGCTGCAGTTGCTGCTTGCCCCTCAGAGTTCCCTCTCATAATTAGCATGCAAGCGGCATAAATCGCAGCAGCAACAACAATTAACAGACCCAAATTGCATGCAACACAGCAGATTTTTCTTTATTCTTTTGCCAGCTTTTTTTTTAGCGGCTTTCTCTGGGTTTAGTTGGCTTTTTTTTTATACGTTTTTTATTTTTGTCTATATTTCTCCTACTTAGCATGCAGGCAGTCATTGACGTCTGCAACAGAACACGTAGGCAAAGCAGCGACCACAACAACAACAGCAGCAGCAGCAACAACTGTCAATTATATTAGTTGTTGTTACTACACACAGCGCTAATTCAAAAATCATGCGTGGGCAGTAGCAACACGCCAGCAGCAGCAGCAGCAACAGCAGCGGCGGCAGCGGCAGCAACATTGCCGCACAGCAGCAACATGGCCACTGGCAACTTCTCTTAATTAAGTGTCGACCTGCCGTTGCATGCAAATGAAAAACAAAAACAAGAAGAGTTTCCCTCTATTGCTGCTGTGTAGAGTGATGTTGCTGCTGCTGCTGCTGCCGCTGCCGTTGTGGCGACCTTTAGCCATTGCGTGTTGCCTGCCACTTTGGCCATAATTTCCAGGCCAACATTTTGGCTTTTCTTTTGTATATGTTTGCGATCTTTAACTGAGTGGGAAATACTGCGAAAAGGTTAAGGAAATACAGTGACTAACTGTTTTCAAATGCCATGAAAATATAAAGTGGGAAAATATAAATATTTTTATAGAAAAACTAATAAAAAATTTCATTAAAGTTACGAAAGAAAGTCGATTTAAAAAACAAACTAATCAAGTGCCAACGGATCAACTTTATGTTTTCAATTCCTTTATTTTGTTTTTCTCAGTGTCAAGTGTTTATGTTGCCCCACTGAAAGTTCGCACGAATTTTCCAGCAGCAGGAAAATCAGAGTGAAAGAGAGACAGGGAGACAGGGAAATAACAAAATGCATGCGTAATTTACGCTTTACGATCGCAATGGCCTAAGATACAGATTCTAACTCCTCTATAATATCGTTATCGAGCTGCGAAATCGCTTCGAGGGGCTCCATTTCCCGAGGATTGAGGGGGGAGGGGTGTGTATTTTCCAGGGGCACTGGGACCCGAGATCCGTTGCATGCTGTGTGCCCGGTGCGTAGTGCAATAAATCAAAGTTTTATTTGTTGAAATAAATTCAGAGTTTATTGCTTCGTTATTATTTCGTTTTTTTTTTTTTTCTTCCAACTGAGATTTCCAACACCAGTTGAGAAGAAAAAAAAAGAAAATAATAAAAAAAAAAAACAACAGCAGCAGCAGCAGCAGCAGCAACAGCGACAGTTAGCCATCAAAACAGCGTTGTTTGGGCCGGAAATGTTTGCTGTTACCATTGGGGCTTTGGTGTTCGTTTGCAGTTTTCTATTGGGGAAAGGTGGGGGCTTGCCTAATTTCAGATCGTTTCGTTGATTGCCCGAATGCTGGTCGATTAATTATTTAGCCATAAAATTAATGAAAACTGATCTGGTTGCGATCTGGTAGAAAGACATTTAAATCCAACAGAAATTAACTGCCAATTAAAGTAAAAGGCCGAAAGTGTCTAAGAATATGGAAAAGAAGTTGCAAAACTACTCTGGGTAGTTTTTTTTTTTTTAGGCATAATCAAGGGATTGGTTATTGATTTTTAAGATTGAAACTTTTTTATAGGTTTTTTAACATAGAGAATAATTTTCACAAAATATTCCTTAAATATTTACAAATCAAAAGAGTAAAATCTACAACAAATTTATTGATTTTTATCCCAAAAATATTCGTTGCCTTCAAACTTAGCATTGTAATAAGAGAAAAAAAAACCTAAAACCTACTTGGATGAAACTGCCAAGTCAGCATTTTTGTTATGGAAATAACGCAGTGACACGCCTAGTCACGCCCTCAATTTGCCTTGTACCCCCGCTGATAACCCCTTTAATATATACACTTTTTTTTTCTTGGGTGGCAGTGACATTTGTGAACTCTGGGCAAGATTTCGCAATTTGTTTGGCATTTGTGCAAGCGCTTTGGCATTAATTGCATCTAAAGATACCGATACAAAGATACACCTATCTGAATGCATGTATCTTGCAGTTTGTGCGATTGATTACGCAATTTCAATTAGCAGTAGCTGTAGCTGTAGCAGCACCAACAGCAGCCGCAGAACACCAAATTAAGAAATTATTATTCTCAGACTAGACGCGGCAAGTCATTCTTAGTACTTGTGTATTAGCCAGCCAACGCAACTAATTATCTATACAAATATATATCCTACACTTTATTCTTGCAGTTGAGTAAGAAATATTAATATATATATATATATTTTCTTCCTATATTCTTGCAGCAGCGTAAGCTGTCACCGACATGGGCAGTGAGCACTACTGCTTGAGGTGGAACAATTACCAATCCAACCTGTTAGGGGTGTTTAGTCAATTACTACAAGACGGGAGCCTGGTGGACGTCACACTAGTTTGTTCAGAGGGCACATCCATCAGAGCCCATAAGGTGAGTTCTATACATTACAAATATCATTGTATTATCACATTGTGTTGTGTCACTAAAACTGATTTTGGCCTTAACCATTTGTACCATTTCTCGCCTTATTCAAAAAAAAAGGTAGAATTTTGCTCATCACTTGGCCAATAATGGTCCAAATATGGAATGTAATACCTCGTTGAGCTTGTTTTCTTATTCTTTTCAAAACTGCATTCACAGTTTGAAATGCTAAAGTTAGGCCATTTTTCGAAAATTTTGATGTTTGTACCCCTTATTGAAAATGAGAATTTTGGATTTCCCCAAAAGTTACAGTATTATCCCATAACTAAGCCAAAAATGGTCCGAATGTGGAATGTAATACCTCGTTGAGTTTGTTTTTTAATTCCTAACAGTTCTGCTGCTGATGATGTGTTTTACCCCTTAACAAAAATCCGAAATTTGATTTACCACGACTTTCCCCTAGAAATGACATTCATAGCGAAGCTAAAAATGGTCCGAATGTGAAATGCCATACCTTGTTGAGCTTGTAAATGAATTCCCTTCATAACTGCACTTTATTTTTTTATTAGATATGCATTCAAATCTAGAAATGTTAATTTTTTACCAATTTTCACAAAAATAGAAATGAACTCAAAGTGACAGAACTTGTGTATATCAAGAATAGTAGATTTACCTACATCTAATAACAAGGGCTACAAGGCAACTTTGTTGCTCAGGCAAAAATTGTATCTCACTTCGTAAAAGGCATTTGAAAAACCGGAATTGAAAGTTATGGCAAAGGGCTTAAAGATATATCTGGTTTTAATGTTTTCAAGGGGCTTAAAATTCCAGACAAGAACCTGAAAAGTCAGAACTAACTGAAAAATGTTGCCTCAACTAAATGTGGATTAGAAATATCACCAAACTACTGAATAGATTCAAATGAAAACTTCTTAAAATGGCCTTAATTTAGCAAATGTGCTTACAATCTCAAGATTTCCCTTGAATATATATAAGAATTAGTAGAAAAGATGACTTTCATTTGAGTACCAATGACGTATGCAACATTTCCCGACGTTCACTTAAAGAAAATTCCATATTCATCTGGGAAAATCGAGAACGGGCAAAATGTAACTGTAAAATGCGGAAGTTGGCGATCAAGGTCGTAGCTGCAGTCGCTGCGTATTTGCGTTCGTTTTTGAAGCCTATCCAGCCCCTGCCCCGTGCACCTTCTTATGTTTTGTATTATTGTTGCGCCTCCGCCCCTCTTGATTTTCCTTGAAAAAAAAAGAAAGATAGCGAAAAAAAAAACGGCAGGCGCATAAATTAACGCAGCGGCAACGGCAGCAACAACAACAGCAACAAGATCAAATGCAATTTACACATTTGTCAGTAAATTGTCAACTTAACGCGAGCCAAAGCAGCGAAGCCGGCAGCGAATGTTGCTACTGCAACAGCAACAGCAATTTGAATTGCTGCTGCTGCTGCTGCTGCTGCTGCCGCTTGGCAACATGTTGACAAGGTCAGCGTCTAATGGAAATTGACGGCAGTGCAACCGCAGTCATCTATCTCTTCCTCCTCTCGCCAAGTGTGAGTGCATAAATCATGCGTTGCCCAGACGACAACAACAACAACAACAACAGCAGCAACAACGCTAGCAGCAACACTTGCAGCAACAACAACTTTGTGCTCACGTCTGTCAATTGAAATTCCTGTTAAATTAAGCGGAAAATATTTAACTGCGTTAACTGTGGCCAATGTTGGCCATAGACATAGCCAGTGTTGTTTCCACAAAACTAGACTTGCGGCCAAAGAAGACGTTGAAGTTGCCCCACGGTCTTTTGATGAAGTTATTTTTTTCCTTTGAATCTGGCTAGGAAAACTGGTAAATTGTTCAATTATAAATGTGCATCTCAGACACTCGGAAAACATTTTCATTAGCTGGAGAAGGAGATGGGGGGAAAGGCTCGATGATCAGAATGAAAATGAGAATGGGCATGAAAATTATCCAAAGTGTGCTGCTGCGGCTGCTGGCTGCCCTGTCAGTGGAAACTGGAAATACCAAGGAGGGAAAAAAGAAAATATCTATCTCAACGAAATACTAATTGACACTTCAGTTAATAATGTTCAATTTAGAAATTGTTGCAAAAATGCCAGCCACTAATAGGATAAAACTGGACATTTGTATATTAGTTGGTGTGATTAAATGACCATGTTATGGCTTAATAAAATGACAAACATTGTGATTAACTAGATTTTTATTTAGTTTATACATTGGAAAAGCAATTTTAAGCATAAAGAGATCCTTGAATGAGAAATCTCTAAGCCAAGCTAGCTAATCAATCTTAATTAGTTCTTGTGCCTTTCGAAGCATAAACAAAATCTAAATCTATTATCTAGCAAAGCTATTCAAATGTCTAAAAAAAAAAAAAGAAAAATAGCCAAAAAAAGATGCAGAAAGAGTACTCGATTAACTCATTTCCAGTTCAATGCAAAGGACATTCGGTTGGTTCCTTTTTCGCCTTCCACTGTTTACTGGCAAATCAACTTCATTAGCCATGGATGGCAGAAGAATGAAGAAAAGGCAAACAAACAAACAAACTGATGAGTTCATTTCCTTTTTAGACACATTCAAAAAAAAAAAAGAAAACTAAAAACGAGGATGAGGAAAAGTCAGGAAAAACAGAAAGAATTTCATTTCAAGTAGAGGGTGGAGAGAAAAGAGGAAAGGATGTGTATACACAGGACACATGTCCTGATGCCTGGGCAAACTAATTAGCAAATGCACATAGACTGGAGAAACAACTGTCGTCGACGTTTTAGTGGAGGACGACAACCCAGGCAGATCGACTAAGGAGACTTTCCAAGAATCCCAAGGATGCAAAGAGACCTCAACTGCCAATTACTTTTCCATATATCCCTATATATATATATCTATACCTACATCGCATCCTATATCGTAGTAGTTTGAAATGCCAAAACGAATCCGCAGGCGCCTTGGAAATCGCTCCCCGAAACAAGGACACCAAAAGGATAAACGGGTTGCGAACAAAAAATTGTTAAATTGATTAAAAAGCAAAGTGTCGATGAACGAGGCAATGATGACAGCAGGCACTCAGCCACTCAGTTGGCGTGGAGTCAGGATCAGTGGCCAGGACATCCAGCCAGTCCAGGCCAGGCCAAAGTCAATTCAATGAAAAAGATGCCGGCAGGGGCATGCAACACGAAAAAAAAAACAACCACTGACGTCGGTCGGAAGAAGGATACAGAAGGGGAGGGGGGATGGTACAACCAAGTGATGGTCCTGCATCCTGGCCATGCGTCCTGAAATGGAGCCAAGCCAAATATGCTCTCATGTGCGTGGAGTGCAGTTCTGCGAGGGTGGTTTACAAAGTTGAGAAAGATTAGAAGGGTTTACGGGGTCCCTATTTCGTGGTTTACAGATAAATTTCTTTAAAAAAGTATTTTTATCATATATAAAAGTAAAATATTTATTTTATATTTTACCATATTTAAACTGTTAATCAAATGCTTGATGCTTGATGGGTACTTCCTAGTTATTAGTTTGAAAAGTTCCCCCACGAAAAACTCCTCAATCTCTCCTCTCTCTTCCCGTCGATTTCTGTTCATCGTGTGTGGAAGTGATTTTTTTACCCACCATTTGCAGTTGTAGTTTGCCTTTTGCCTTGGCTCCTGTGTTTTTGCCACAGGCTTTTGTCCTGTGTCGAGGGTGAGTGTATGTGAGTTGAAGCGAGACAGGAAGGGCAAGCGGAAGAGGGACGGATAGATAGGGGCGTCGGCACTTTAACTCAATTTGAGGCATTTAACGTATGCTCGGTTGATATTTGATGCGATTTGAGAATCGTTCGCAGCTGCCTCACATTCCCCGAGAACTTTTTGCCCGTTTAGTGAGATTTCCCCCGTTTTTTTTTTTTTTTTGTGATTTCTAGTCGACAACGAAGCAGCCGAAAGGCAAACAAAGTGTAACAAATGTCGTTGCGGACAGTTCAAAAAGGGGTGGGCGCGGGGGCAGTATGGTCCGTCATCGCCCAAAAACGTTGGCAAATGACTTTCAATGACTTTTACCTAGGAGGCAAATTTCTGTTCAAATATTTGCGGCACCCAAAAAAAGTAAAGCAATATTTTTGGATTCGTTTTTTGTTTGGTCCTTTTGGGGGGGGAAAGGTTTTTCCAAGTAGTGCATATGCGTCTGAGTGTGTGTGTGTGTGTTGTCTTAAGCTGATTTGTTGGTCAGCTAAGAGTCTGATTGAGTTGAGCACACCTACCACCTTATTGCCTCCTCCTTCTGATCTCCCTTTCACCTTTGTCGTTGGTAAATTTGCATGGACATGGCTTCGATTGGTTATAACAGGGTGTTAAACAACATGCCAGACATGCCACAAATATGCAAAGGCAAAACACTTAACAACAGCAACAACAAATTTTTGACAAGACAACGGCAATGGCAACAACAACAACAACAACGACAGGCTACAACAATTGCCACAGCAATGCAGTGCAACTGCAAATGGTAACAACAGCAACATGACGTGACCGCCTCTATTGACAGCTGCAACAACTTGCAACATATGTTGCAGACCGGCAAAGGCAACAAACATATTGCAGCGCCCAATTTGTTTTTGTTGGCCAAGCCTGGTAAAACATTAAAATCAAATGTCAATAAATTTGATATTTAGTCATAATTTTTAAATATTTCCGTGTAACAAGAATTTATTTTTGCGGCTAAAAAATTCATAAACAAATCAAAGCAAATCTACAGCCTTTTAAATTTCATTTAAAAAACCATTAAAGTGGCAATAAAAAAAGATTGAATTTAATTTATGTGGAATATGGAAGACGATTAAACACAATTGAAATGCAGATTTTATTCTGATTTTGTGCTTTAAATATTTGATAATATTTATAACCGATTAATAAACAGTAATATGAACTCAAAAGAACTCGAAATTCTTGGAATTTTTATACTCAACAAAAGTAGATTAAGAAAATGCCCAAAGAATGTAAATGCA